GTGTGTGTCTCTCTCTCTCTCTCTCTGTGTGTGTGTGTCTCTCTCTCTCTCTCTCTGTGTGTGTGTCTCTCTCTCTCTCTGTGTGTGTGTCTCTCTTTCTCTCGCTCTCTGTGTGTGTCTCTCTCTCTGTTTCTCTCTCTCTCTCTCTCTCTAATAATAATAATAATTTATCTTTACGAATTCAATTATTTCGATATTTTACACGCAGGTTGTGTTTACTTACGGTGCGACACTTTTAGTAGACAGAACCGGAAGAAAAATATTATTACTATTATCATCAGGTGTTATGATCGTTTGTCTCTTCGTGTTGGGTAAGAACCTGAAAACAAAACGAATCTCATAATAAAAAAGTAAACAATTGAGTTAATAATACATTTTTCGTCAGGTATTTACTTTCAATTAAAAGAAAACGACGAATCATCCGTTAAAAGTATCGGATGGCTTCCGCTACTTTCTGTCAACGTATTCGTCATTTGTTTTTCACTTGGTTTCGGACCACTACCTTGGATGATGATGGGTGAATTATTTTCAACGTCAATTAAAGAAATGGCGAGCGCAATGGCAGTCGTCATGAATTGGGTATTAGTTTTTGCCGTAACGAAAACATTTTCCGATCTTTTATCCGCATTGGGAAAATCCGGAGCTTTTTGGTTATTCGGTGGCATTTCGTGCATAGGATTTCTTTTCGTTTGTTTCGTCGTTAAAGAAACGAAGGGAAAAAGTTTTGGAGATATACAGAAAATGTTAGGAGGTTGATTTTAAATATTTTTGCCCAAAAAACATAAATTAACGGAACGAAACGTTCTAATATCTTATACTTTAAAAAAAAATTTTTTTTCTAATTTATTTTTTACGAATAACCTTAAACGAGACAAAGACTTTTTTTTTTTTATAAATATATATTTTGTATATGTAATATTTTTAATTCCAAATAAATAAATAAATAAAATAAATCGTTTGTTAATTTTCATCCTTAGAAACCTTTTATTACTTATCAAACCAATTAATAAATAAAAAAAAGCGTTTTTAAGCGTTTTTTTTTTTTTTTTACAAAACTATATGACCCATTACAACGTCGTTTATGTAATTTTAAATAATAATTTTTTTTTTTTTTTTTTACACATCATAATTAATTAATTCTTTTGCAGTTTTTTTTTTTTTTTTTTTTTAATGACTGCAATCGAAACTAGTAATCAAAGTCAGTGTGAAACATGTGCACGGTTAACGTCTAAGATTTGTGTCAACAAATGTTTCCGATTGAAAATGATAAATTGTAAGTATATTTTTCAATGAATAATTTAATTTAATTTATTAAACATATTATTAAAATTTCAATTTCAATTTAAAAAAAAAAAAATTATCACAGATTCGCCATAATTTAAATTATTGATTTTAATACAATTAAATAAAATCATCGCTTTATTATTATTATTATTATTATTATTATTATTATTATTATTAATCCGGTTTACTCCAAAACGATGGAATTAAATCCCTCCCTCCCTCCTTCTCCCAACGAGGAAGGGAGGGAGGGAGGAATCGAAATAAAACGATAAAAATAAATCGAAATCGAAAAAACTAAACGTGGCACTTTTTTCGTGTAAACAAACTACTAATAATGCACTTCGTTCGATATTTCATTTTTTTTTTTTTTTTTTTTATTAAACCTTCGACTAAATTCGAAAACAAATGACTACAAATCCTTAAAAACAAGTTTGTCATACCGTACCGTACCTGAACCGAAAACATTCGAAATTTTAATCGAACAGAAAAAAAAAAAAAAAAGAAAAAAAAAAAAAGTTTCTCTAAATAATATCAGATTTTAAAAAGGCCTTCGAGATAAACTTGAACTCGGCCCAATATTTTTAACGTGTAAATTTCGTGACAAAGAAAAAAAAATTTATTATTATTATTATTATTATTATTATTATTATTATTATTATTATTATTATTATTATTATTATTTTCGTCTGGTTTAAAAACATCCGTTTGTGCGCGTAAAAAATTTCTCTTTCTATTATTATTTAAATAATTTATTTTAAAAAAAATATATATATATATATATTTTATTAAATGATTCATCTCGTAAACTTCCTCCCCATCCTCTCAGTCTAGGCCCCCTCCTCCCCCTTTTCGATGGAACCTCCCTCCCTCCTCCCTCCCACGTGATACACGCACACAAACACAAACACACCTCAACAATTTTTATTTTTGTCCGAAATTAAAAAAAAAATTCAAAAAACAAAAAACTAAACAAAAAAAAACAAACTTTAAAATACGATTAATATAAGTTTTGAATGAAAATATAATAAATTCGAGCGATAATAATAATAATAATAATAATAATAATAATAATAATATATTTATGTTTTGCATACGTCACAAAATCATAAATAAAAATATTAAAAAAAAAAAAAAAAACACGCAAATAAAAACTTTTTTTTTTTTTTTTTTTTTTTTTCCCGTTATTATTACCGAACGTTTTTTTTTTTTATTTTCAACCTCCCCCATTTTTTTTTTTTT